GGGAGGGGAGGGGAGGGGAGGGGAGGGGAGGGGAGGACACAATCAGCCTTTAAAACAGGGCTGTGTCTTCCTCTTTCTCCCCCAAAAACAGGTCCAAAAAGGGAGGAGGAGAGGGCGCAGGAAAGCATTCTGGCTTTTTTGGCGCATGTAGACCTTTGTCTTCCTTCCTTCTTCTGTCCATTCACATTTTTAGAAGTATTCAGTCACATGTCTTTTGAGCGACTTTATGGATTACCAGCTTCAGAAGTTAATTTATTTTTTGCACCTTGATAAGAAAATTTAAAGTGAATATTACCAGCAAACTCTAAGAGTTTAAGAGTGATAAGGATAAGGACTGCTATGGTTTATGACTCATGCATGAAGACACAGGTCTGTGGTTGGGCTTTTTAGAGAACTGGGTATTTCACACTTTAGACAAACTGAAAAACAAAATAGCACCTACCATTCTTGGCCCTTTTGCAAAATGCAGACTCCTTTGCTTCCACGTGCTCAACACAAGTATTTCGTTCTATCTTCTGTTTATCTCTCCTTTTCTCTGCTATAGACCACAGGATGATCTCTGAGCAATGTCACCTTATCCGTACTATCCCAGTGCTTAACTAACCCAGCGGAGTCAAGAGTTCCTTGGAAGTTCTCGGAAGCACTAAAGAATCCACACGATTTGTAGAAAGCCAGAGTTTTATCTCCAGGCCCAGCCGCGGACAAAGGGAGATCAGGAACAACTCTCTCATTGCCAATGAGGCCCGCGGCGAGCGGGAGCGGGCTGCGGCAGTGCCGCGCTGCGCCGCTGGGTGGCGCCCCAAGGCCGGCGCGGCGCCGCCGCCCCGCCCGCTCCCGCGCGGCCTCCGGATCCTTTCCCGGGAATATTTTCCGTCTTTGATGCCCGGGCACGGCTCGGACCTTGTAAGGAAGGGCCTCACGGGGCAGCTCGTCAGGGTTTCACTCTCACTTTGGAGAGTTTAAATGTCTCTTGAGCCAAGCGTCGTCGGAGTATCCAGGGCATATCCTGTATTGCTCTCAACTGAGATTTCCTGCTAGAGCTGATGTTTTCAGATGGCCAAAAGCAGGTTTCTAACTATAACTGCTGTGGCAAGAACACGATTCTGTTTTTGTAGAACAGAATTTCCAAATTCCAAATTTTCCAAAGACAGAGTCAGATTAAACAAGATGTTCCCCACAAACACAAAACCATCCTTTCTAAACACTTCTTTTGATTCCCTTTTTCATTAACTTCATTAAAGTTTCCAGCTATCACTTCATGCTTTTTGTTGCTGTACTACCTGGCCACTGGTGCCATCACCTCTGTCTGCACATCCCCCTTCTCCCTTCCCTCAATGTCACAAGCCACCTCCTTCCACCCACTCTGGGTTTCACTGCTGGGTTCAAATCTGCAGTGGTTTTTGGAAGGGCCCCTGTGACTTCACGTTCCTCAGCATCTATTGCCATCATTCCTTGGTAGGCACCCTGGCTTAACTGCATGCTTGTCCTGTTCTCCAACTACAATTTTCTTGTTTGCCCAGACCACACTGCACCAAAAACTTCCACCAAAAGTTTGTGACAATCCCCATTGTGGGCATGCCATTATACAATACAAGTCAACTTGTGTCAGGCAATATCACAGCTCACTTCGTTATAGCCAATTAAATTTTTTCCTTATTTGTTCTGTCAGTCAGGCAGTTCCTTTCTTGGAACAAAGTGCAGTGTTTGCCTCCACGGCTTACCCTGTCGGTGCCAGGTGCCCATGCAATATAAAAAGCAGCTTTCTATGCCTGTCATACTCCTTGAGAAGCTCTGTTCTCTTGGTGGTTCATTTGAGCACGAGATGTCATAGCTGTGCCATGCAGTTAAACCCTCCCAAGGGAGCAGCAAGTCAGAACCTCGTTATTCTCATGTTTGGCACTAGTCCTGCCACAGAGCAACATATTTTCTTACACCATTTGGAATCTGGCTGTGGTACCAAAAGTTGTTTTGATGACTGAACCTGACAGAGGCAACTGAGACCCTCCCCCAGATGAACAGAGATGTTTGGTGATAGTTAAAGTGGTTGGCTGATCCTCAGCAGGCCAAAAAATGTGTCCTGCCTGAATCCTGCTAGGACTGCTTACACTCAACTGACCTGAGAGCTTCCAGCTTTCCCTGAAAGGATTTCCAAGTATTTACTACAAAATGCCTTTAAATGTATTTATTTATCCAAATATCCTCTAATGGTGGATGCTGCCACATCCATGAACAGCTTTGGAGGTTTGCCAGAGCATTCCCATAAAGCTGCATCAGAAGGGGCATTAATAATGAACCAAGATGTCAGAAAGATATACACTGAAAATATTTTGTTATCCTGATTCACTCCAAAGCATTTCCATACATGTAAACAAAAGAAGCTTATTAAGCCATTGAATAGCAAACAGCAACAAAATCTGTGAAAAACTAAATATGAAAATAATATTCATTGTTGACTAGAGCTAATAATACTGGTTTTAGGAAGAAAGAAATAAGCTGCTTTTGGTATCTCTCATGCATTACCCAGACACAGAACATAAAGTAACCAAAAGAAAATACATACTTGTGTGTATTTGCAAGTATATATTTAATTGCTGTAATATAGTTAGAACCAACAAGCATGCATTTAGTGCCAAACATAAAAGACTGGTCTACACTGTATTTTAAGCCTTTTGTGATGGAAGCAAATTCATAAATAATGAGCTTCTGCAAATAATTGACATTTGGATTTGTGCACAGCTTAATCATTTTAGTGTCTGACAAGATCAAAAAAGTGAAATTTAACATCATTCTGGTAGACAGACAGCTCAATAAATGCATGTCCAGACCAACCTGAAATATTCCACTGCAAGGAGATTCAAAGACAATTCTAGTGACTGCAGAAGAGCTGCAGAGTGAGACATTCAGGTAAGAGGCTGTGGGGGTTTAAGGATTGTCACTACTTGTACAAAGGCTGCACAGTAACTCACTGTGGTTTTGAACCCAGTCTGCAGTGCTAAAACATAAAGACAGACTTGGAGTGAGCCATGAACACCTGGGCTGCATGTCTGGAGGGGCAGCAGTTTGACAGCTCAAACCAAGCAGTGACCAGCCTGACAGAAGGGCAGGTGACTCAAGAAATGTAATCATGTATGAAAGTAGAATAATTTTCAGTTACAGATTTATTACAGAATCAACACTTGATCCTGTTCTCATAAAAATCTATATTACAAAACTCCAGAGATGACTCATCTACTAATGTGTATATTTTTCTTGCCTTTCAGCCCTCCAGACTGATGCACATTTGCCAAGCTGTTATTGCCTTGGAATATAGAGCTGAGGGAGGGAGCCTGAGCACTCTCCTTCCACCAAAGGAAGTTTGAGAAATTCTGCACCTGTACTTTGTTGAAACTGCTCTATCCCTGTGTGGTGCTTGCAGCTACATTAGCCATGATTAACACTCAGGTAGCAACTGCTAATAATGTCAAAAGCTGTTAGAAAATATTTAGTATTTTAGCATGAAATTTAGTACCTGAAAATCAAAACTAGATTGCCAACAGTTTTTATTCACCTTTGCAGGCAGAGCTACACATGTGAGCCATTATTTAAGTCTCTGTCTGTATCTTCCAAACTAACCATCTTTGTAGTAGTCCACTACTACCAAAAACTTCCAGAAAACCACCTGATCCACTATACAATTAATTGGAAAATGTCTGCTAGGAAGATTCTCATTCTGTGAGTTTCAATAAATGCTGGGTTTAGTCACCACATCCTTTTTACCTCCTCATCCTGAATTTCCATCTAAAATGCTTTCTTTTTTGTTGCCTGAGTAATAGCACAAAAGGCAGGGTGGATTCACTGGAACATATTCTAGCATTGTGATATCACCAAATAAAATTTACACACACTAAAGTATAAAACCTACTATTTCATTATTATTGACAAATAAGCTCTATATCACTTCCTACTTCATGGAATGCAGATGATGCTTTTGGTTGGGCAGGGAAGCTAGTTCAGACTCTTCTCCTTCATCTTTTAAATTAGGAAACAAACTGCACCTTTACAAGAAAAGTTATTGGGGTGCTTACCTAGATAATTTACCTCACAGGTGACATTCTCCCTGGTTGTATTCCTATAGTTCTGTCCCAAATGTGCAGCAGAAGAAATTACAGTTCCAGCACATAATCACAGAGCAGAAAAAGATGAACACACTTCAATTCTATTAACTGCTCCCTTCTTCTTCTCTGGGAAAACAAAAAGAAAAGCAAAGAGCTCCTTTGCAAATGAGAACACTTTGCATTAATATCAGCCAAAGGAGAAAGCTGCACATCGCTGGAACAGAGCTGCCTCTTCTAGCTGAGATTTAGTCAAGCATAGAGCAGCTCATGGAGGTCCAAGGAAGTGAGGAATTATAGTAACTGTGCACCAAAGACATTATTTCACCAACCAGTTTATCTGCTTATACTTTACCATTTTTTTTTAAGCTCAAGCTTATCTTTATTGGTATAGCTGATAAGTGAATTTCTTGCCTTTTGGGATTCTGGGTGCTTCTGACACAATTATAACAGAAAAGGGTTGTGACATCTGCTTGGACTCTGGAAGAAAACAGTGGAATTAAATGCCTATTTAACCTATGTTTTGACCTTTCTACCCACAGTGAAGCATTCATTCCCAAAAGAGTCATTAGCTGACCACTGCAGTCTTCACTGTGATACA